TATTTTGTATATCGCACGTGCGCGCACGATGCTCCAGCGACGTCGAAAATTTTAATCGGACAGGAAACGCCAACGGATGCTGCAACATCCGCGCCACGTGACGCCGCCTCGCGTCGTTTAAAGTTTATTTTCTCGCATCTTACACATTATCGGGATCTTAGAATTTTTCAATTTCGGTTTCCCAGGAAAGTAGCGCGGTACGATGTAACTGTAGGCAAAGAGTGTTTGGTTCGGCGAAGGGTGAATTATTTGGGAACCGTTCCGACGAGAATTCGATCGGTAGGTCGCGCTCGGCGACGATTCGTCGACGGAATGCTGGGACGATCGGTGAAATCGCGAGTCCTTCGTCTCGATCGGATACAGCGATGGCACTCGGTCGTGCGACGTCGATTCGGACAAAGCGAAGAAAGAAAAGGAAAGGAAAGGAAAGGAAAGGAAAGGAAAGGAAAGGAAAGGAAAAGGAGAATCCCTCGGAAGAAGGTAAACTGTAAACTAACGGAAGAGTCCGCGTGGAAGAGTATATGTAGAGATTCTATTATATGCATATGTAGGTATATGTATAATATATATATATATATATATATATATATATATATATATATATATATATTTTAGCAACAGATGCAACGAAGGACACGTTCGTTATATTTTGAGGGACGCAACTAACGACGAAGAGTCGCGTAAACCCGAACGCTCACGCACATTCTTAAATGCATAAACATAATTCTACGATTATATTATATATATATATATATACGAGACAAGAATATACACCGATCGAACGATATACATAGACGTGTACCGTGGCGAGCATGAAACGAGAGAAACGCTAGAGGACTGCGAACCCCCTGATCGCATACCCGATTACGCAATTTATCCGCCGTTTCACGGTCCGCGCGGACCACGTGTTCGCGAGAGAAAGACGAAACGCGTTCCTTGTCCCTACCCTCGCCACCCCCTTAGGATCCGAACGCGTAGACAGAGGTACGCAGCCTTTCCTCGACAAGCGCGGAAAGGCTGTCGCGCGTAAAATGTAAATAAAAGCGAAATCTTGTAAAGAGAACTCGTAGGGTTCTGAACGAAACGAAAACACAAAAATATTGAAACGGTATTGTAGAAAGGAGAGCGATAAATACTCGACTAAGCGGAAAAACGCGGATGTAAAAACCGCGCGAGGCGTTGCGTAGCTTCTAAGGGAAACTAGACGAGATACGCTATAATAGGGAATAAGTAACGTTATACCGGCGAGAAATGGGCTCCCCGGTCGGGCCAATATTCGATAAATATCGGTGTCAAGATAGACGGATAGGCTCTTCTTTTCCCGTTGTACTCTCGGTTCGTCCGCGATCGAGCGAGCGATCGTTGCACCGCCAAGCCAGGATGCCGATTGTCGGTTGTCCGTTGTCAGCGTCGGTCGTTCTTTCTTCTTGTTTCGACAGTTACGACCAGTTACCCCAGTTTCGATATTTCTTTCCACGGATTCTGCGATCTTCTGGATTATCTATCCCGCTTGTCGCGGATCTTCGTTCTCCGTATTTAAATTTCAAAATATTATACGATCGATTTTCTTAGCAACGATAACGATAATATAGACGGAAAACGATTACGGGCCTTTCGGTTTCTATCGACTTTTTCGAGATTAAATTTCTAAAATAATATTGATATTTCTTACGCGTTCGATGCTCGTTTTTGTCGCTAGGAATTTTCAAGCGTCGGATTAATCGCGTCGGGCCGGTCTTCGTTCGGGTCCAATGATTTCGGGGCGTTGATCGCGAATCGTTCGATGTTCCAGATTCTAGAAGAGTGAAACGACGCGCGGAAAATTGCTATTTCGTAACTATAGAGAAGCGACGCGCGTTTTAGTATTTTTTTCGAGCCGAACGACGAAGGCGCTCGACGGACGATCGACCGTGACGCGGAACGGACAGAAATGGTACAAGGGATACTCGAGTTTCGCTATTTCGATGCCGTTGACGGGATCGAGTCCGATCGTATCGACGGTCGAGTTCGATTCGCGAGGACGACAAAGTTTCCGGCGCAACCGATCGAATTTTATTTCGCACGATTATCGTTTGTACTTTCTTCAGAAATATCGCGAGCATAGGACGCGAAACTGCGGTTGACCAGATTTTTTCGACGGTAGGTTCGAACGTTCGCAGAAATTCTCCCGGATAGATCAACGGGGAACGCGACCTCGGCGAACGTTTCCGTAAAAACGATACAAAAAGTTGAACACGCTCAAGTTGTGATTCCATCTCGAAGCATCGAGCCAAAGTTCTTCGAGTCTCTCGTAGAAACGATCCAAAGCAGAGACACGTTTTTCTTTAACTTTTGGTTATCGCGATCGGTGCGAACAATTTCGCTGAAAAGTTCGCGCGGTCCAACGATCGAATTTCGCTTTTAAAGTATTCGTAGAAGACTCGCGCGGAAGATCGTCGAATTTTAGACAGGCTCGCACTCGATCCCACCGGAGTTGACCGCGATCGATTTACTCGAAACATCTGCAAAGCGGGCATCGGCGAATCTCCTCCGAGATAGACGACGCTCGTTCGCGTAGCTCGATCCGCGTCGTCGATGTTTTCGATGATCGCGGAACGAAGCCAGACGAGCCAACGAAGCGTTAAACGTTCGATTATACTCGGAACCGTGTCGATAATATTTAAAATTTCAAGGAACACCAAACTCTTCTTTAAGGCGTGATAAAATAAAACGCGTCCGGACCAGCGAACTCGAACGAAAGAAATCGCCGAGACGCCGAACGCGTATCAAACGAGTTCTTCGAAGCGTCGCGTCGCGTCGCGTCGCAACGGAACAACAACGTTCGTAAGCAATAATATATTATTAACGCGATCGTTCGGGGAACAACGACGATAAACCGAGGCGCGCGTCGATCGATCGACTCGAATTGCTCAAGAACTAGAAACGAGTCAATAATCAGTCAATACGCGCGGCGACGATATCGAGTACAAATGGACGGGGCGGACATAACGGAGACCGTATGCGACTATCGGGTTTCGGCTACGTTCGATACGCGCGATTTCGTTGAGTCGTCGATCGCGCGCACCGTGCCGCGTCGGTTCCACCGAAAGATCGGCATTTCCTCGTTAGCGTCGCGGCGAGAGAGGCGAGGAAAACGCGCAACGATAACGAGGGAAATGGAAGCGGGACGCTAACGAGGGAAGCGGAGAAATACGATATGTAAGTACTCGTTAGTACTCGCATACCATTCGACGGAAGCGTTCGACCTCCCGGAGGTCTCGCGACGATTCGATCGAGAAGGGAGAGCAGAAGGGGAGACGTTCCCCTCCGTCGTCTCTCTCTCTCTCTCTCTCTCTCGCTCTCGAACAGCGTCGCTCGGAAATATTTATCGGACGCTTCCACGCGATTTTTGGAAGCTTCCCGGACTCTCGGAACGCGTCGGGGAATCCGAAGACGTATCAAAGACGACCGTTGACAAGGCCCACCTTTCGGCACAGCTTTAAATTTTCTATTTATCGGTTAATCGCACGGTGAGTCGTCGTTGTGCCGTTTGAAAAGCAATACGAAGCAATAAATACGAGTAGTATCGAGGGTTGTGATAGGAGCCTAAACGTGGATAGGATCATGGTTAAATTACTTAAAGTCCTCGACGACGACGCGATCGAACTACCGTCTAGGCGATAATAAATCGAGCACGCGCGGCTCTAATAATTAAGTACCTAAGAAAATTGCGGCCGCTGTCGGCAAGCGGATATCCGCGGAACGCGACGAGACGCGATAAATATTTCCAGCGTACGCACGGCGACCATGGCGACCATAGCGGCCATGGCGAGCGAGCGAACGGCGTGCGCGATTCGTCGCCAGGCAATTGCAGCTCGACGAATCGCGCGCGTTCGTTCCAATCTCGCTAATATTTCATGGATCGGAATCCGACGCTTTCGTATCGCGATTCGTCGAACGCTGCTTCGGTCCAGATCCTTCTTCGTCCGATCGGACGAATCTCGAACCATCCTCGAGAAAATCTTTCCGCGACGCGAGCGTTGCGCGGTCCGTGCGGGTAGGTCCGAAATATTTCGCGACTCCGTAAAGCAACGAGTCTCCTCGTTCGGAAGCCCACTTTCTTCTTCCAGTTTCCGTGAGCGCTCGAACACCGACGCGTCGGGATTTCAAAGATCGAGAATCGAACATTTTGCAGCAGCGGATATTTCGATTTATTTTTAGACTCTAGACTCTAAATTGGACGGTTGTTGGAAATTCGAGACCACGGAACGACTCTATCCTCCCTGCTCTTGTTCCCGCGTTTTCATCGCCTCGACGCCCTTTCGCTTTTCGCTGTTCACCGTTCCCCGTTCACCGTTCGCTTTCCACCCTGTGTGGGAAACGATACCGCGAATCGGATCCGTACGACGATTCCTCGTCGACGCGATACGCGCGAGATACGATTCGATCAACCTGTCGACTACGACCGTAATCTTTCGACCGCGACCGTAATCTTTCTTTCTAAACTCTCTCCGTTTCCATTCTAACCCTTGGCATCTTTCTCTTCGCGTACGATTCTTCGCTTCGCGAGAATCCTTCGATGTCTGGCGACGAGTCGACTCGCCACGCTCGAAACAAATCCAAAAATCTCTGATCCGTTTCGATCCGGGTGCGATCTTTTACGAGAGATCCTGCGACGCGTTTCCAGCGAGTACCTATGCTTCTCGCGACGAGTCAACTTGGTCGCTCTCGGAACAAACGGAACTATCTTCGGCCTGTTCCCAACAACTGCGACGCTCGGTGTCTCGCAACGCGTTTTCCCTATGTTTTATGTCCCATACCTTCTACGTTCTTCGACGGGTTAACTCGTCACCGCCAGTTCACAGGTTAATGTGTCTAGCTTTAAGAGACAGTTCGACGAAAAACTCCTCTCGATCGAGGAATCCTAAAAGTATCGACGAAAGAAACTTGGCGGAGCGTTAAAACGAGAAAGAAAATAACGTAAGAAGCGAGGAAAAGAGAGATAAAAAAGAGAGAGAGAGGGAGAGAGAGAGAGAGAGAGAGAGAGAGAGAGAGTGAGAGCGAGCGAGAGTGTGCAAGAGAGAAAGAGAGGGACTGAGACGAAGGGGGGAGGGAGAACGAAGAAAAAAAGTGCCTATACACATACACCAGTAAAATTATTCGTTAGCGTGTATAATGCGTTCCAACGAGTACGGACAGTGTCAATTACAGGTTAACCGAACAGATTAAGCGAAAAGCTGTAGGTACGCGCGTGCCTAAATAAAAAGGAACGCGGCGGACGAAAAAATCCGCGCGCGAACGCGCAAGGTTTAGAGAACTGTCGGAGAAGCGAAACGCTACGGAAAAGGAAAAGAAAAAGAAACGAGCGAACGAAAAGCAATATCGAACGACGATCCGAAATTAGAAACGCTTGGGAGTACCAATTAATTGACAACGATTACGACGACGACGATAAACGATTGCGATCTACGATTACGATTATTATTACTGTTATCATCGATTGCGAACCTATTTACTAATTTGCTGGCCGTCGTGTCGTGGGCCGCGTCGATCGCGATCGCGATCGCGATCCGATAGGATAGGTTACGATTACGATTACGGTTACGGTTACGGATAAATCCGGACGAACGAGCTACAATTTTCTTTCAACTTTAATGCGAGATCTCGCGAAGCCGTTCCAAAGATTCTACTGTACGAAAGCTCGACGATTTTTCGAACGAAGGCGAATTCGGAGGATCGATCGCGATCGAGATCGCGGCTGGCCAGCGACGGATGTGATATAAGGCGAACCTTACCTATAGAAACGCGCATAGATAGCGATATTCTATCGCGATTGTGATAGCGAGAAACACGCTCACGCGAACGCGGAAGAGGAAAGCGAAAAGGAGGGAAAAGCGAACGAAGAAGAAAAACCGCGTACCGCGATTCGAAAAAGCGATGCGAAAGACGAGGAAATCGCTCGACGAAACGAACGAAACGAACGAAACGAACGAAAAAATCCCTGTCTCCTCCGAAGTGCGACTGATATTTACAGGATATTGTTCCAATTGGATGCTCCCAGGGAAGCCGGGGTATTCAAAAGCAATAACTTCGTAGAGACGGTCGCGGGTCCTCGACGAGGCGCACGCGCGACCGATTTATAATATAAATTAATTAAATTACGGCGCGGAGGTGAATGCGAGAGAAAGGAGAGAGAGAGAGAGAGAGAGAGAGAGCGTAAATGGACGAGTAAATCGGGAATAGCCGCGTAGACGAGAGGCGACAATTTTTATCCTTACACAATTTTAATCTGTAACGAGGGCTCGCAATTAGCGCTCGCGCTCGCACACACACGCGCGAACACAAGCACGCAAGACCGCGCACGCGTTCGGTGGAACGCGTGCGCGCAGGTAGAAGCATTCGTTACCCGGTAATAAAGCTGTCGAACGAAGCAATAATTAGCGGAAGCTGACATAGAGGTAAAGCGACGGAGAGTGTGCGGTAGAAACGTAGAGGATAACGAATCGTTTAAACTTTAAACACAGCTCACGTATTATACAAACATAATCGACACGCGTACCGTGCGCCTAATCGACGGTTTAGCAAGACTTATTACATTGTAATTATCGAGGGTGACTAGCGACGGCTTTTGTAAGGCGAGGACGACGACGACGACGACGACGACGACGACGACGACGACGACGACGACGGCGATGCAACCCGGTTGCATCGATGTACACGTAAACTACCGAGCGCCGATGTATTTGTGTGTACGCATCGAGAGACGCGTGTGCACGTATTTACGTTGTTAACGTATGCGAGAAACGTACGCGACGCGTGTAGGTACCTAGGTACGTGTACACGCGAGGAAGTTTGAAAATCGGCGCGACACGCGTGACCAGTGCACGTTACGTATACATATTTATGATACATTACATTACGTCCTGAGAGAGAGAGAGAGAGAGAGAGAGAGAGAAAGAAAGAATCGCGAGGCGAGATGCTAGGAAAAACGGTAGGAGAAAGCATGAGAGCGTGTGCCCGTGTACGAGCGAAAGAGAGTAGTACGATAACGAAGGTAAATAGCGAAAGAAATTGCGCAAGTATCCATATTTTATAGCTTTTACTTCAAAGTATAGTACACGCGGATTGCGAAGTTAACTATATTTATAGAGGATACGTTGACAAAAGGTATTACCGATGAAATTCTATCGAGCAAAGGCAGGCTGGTAGAAGCTCGGTCTTCGATCGGCGAGACGGAGATCGAGATCGAAAGGTACTTCGCGAACGCGTTCGATCGGTCTCGGATCGGCCTTGGGATCGGCCGTCGAGATCTGGCCGAGGACGAATCGTTCGGGATCGATCGAAGGTGGTCGGATCCGCGTGGAGAGTACCGTAGCGTGGAGCGAAGGGGGGGCTACCAGTCGCCGCTGTGCTCCGTTTAACGAACGAGAAAAGCGAAAAAAAAAAACATAAGAGATTATACCTTGCATGACTACGTAGGGCTATACTGCCGCCGAAGCAATACAAAGAGCAATATAGAATTAACGAGTAAAGAAAACAAATAAATCGCAGATAATTAACGAAACAAGTTAAAAAGGTAAACTAAAGGTAAACATTAATTATACCTGAGAGGGGACGCCGTAGGTTACGACTTCTCGTTACACTCGCGTACAGACGCGCGCGCGCGCGCACGCAAACGCGAATACAAATACAAATACGAAACACGACTCTCGCGCCCGCGCGCGCACACACACGTACACACACGCGCGCACACACGCACCGCGGTACACGACGCAAACAGAGACTCGAACCACAGTTATACCCGATACCTACTCGGACACACGCGAACATTATGTATGGTCATTAATTTATTCTGACCGTAGTGCTAAATGTATTTAGCATTTACGTAGATGACACTAATTGCCTAGGTCGAGCAGCTCGTACGGGGATCCACGGGCCGCCGTGGATCGTCCGCCATCTTGTCGATTGAACTTTCGATCGCGAGAGTCCAAGCACGAACCTCGCCGACAATTTCTTTTCCGTATACCGTATACCGTATACCGTATACCGTATACCGTATACCGTATACCGTATACCGTATACCGTGTATCGTATACCGTATCGAACGGGATACCGTCGAGTCAATATCTCTGAAAGATTTTCAAGCGAAGCCTGCAGAAAACGCGGAGCCAACGAATTCTCCATTATGGCGGGAGACGCGCGGCGGCAACGATGGCCGCCCAGCCCGAGCGAATTTCGGCTAACGAGAAACGGTAGTGATATAGAATTTATCGTAGCGATCGCTAATGTATTTCACTCGGTGCCTGTGACAGCTAAGCTCGCTATATCTGTTCAAGAACGAAACGATTGACAATACATTGTTGAGTGGAGAGCAACAGGCGTTCGGAAACCTGTTCATCTTCCTTCGCGGGCTTGGCGACGCCTCCTCCTCCTCCTCCTCCTTCTCCTCCGCCTCGTCCTTCTCGCCTTCTCAACTTTTTCTAGTGGCAAACCTATTTACGAACCTCCGTTCTCCGCTCTATTCGTTCTCCCGATCCGGGTCCGATCTTCTCGCCAACAACTTCTCGCCAACTTGTTCGCCATCGATCGTCGTATCTCCGCTCGGAAGCTCGATTCGAGCCGAGCCGGGTCGACCGACCGCCTCGCGAATCCTCTTCGGATTCGTCGAATCCTTTCGATCTGTCCTTCTCTCTTTCTTATTTGATCGCTGATCCGCTTTTGTTCTCGCGACAGACTCTCTAGCCGTTTTTCTCTCGGCAACAGATTTCTGTCGATGAAATTCGAGACGGCGAAAAGATTCAAAGTATTTTTAATGGAAGAATAGATAGAAATTTGTATTTTATATAGCATATTCGACTCGATGAAACGATCGAATCGGGGTCTCGACCGATAACCGGAGACAAAGTTTCGAAGTAACGCCGTCGAGACCGCTTCGAGAACGTCGCGGACGAAGACGTCGTAGAGGGGAAAGTCCGTCGATCGCGTAATTTCCATCGAAGTTCGGTCGATCGAAACGTCGTTAGTTTTTTCCTGTCGGCTCCGTCGGCTTCCGACTCCGACGCGTACAAATCTCCGAATCCTCCGCGGTCGGTCGACCCGAGCGTCGCATCGAGCGTTCGTCGATCGTTCGTCGAGAGCCTCGGCCTCGATTTTCCTCGATCGTCCTCCACCCCGCACCCCTCGCGCTTCTCGCCCTGTTTCTCTCAAGTCGGGTTCCGAGTTCCGAGTTCCGAATTCCGAAACGCGTCGACGCGTCGTCGCGTCGACGCGTTCGACCGACCACGACACGGCTGTTCACGGGTACCACCTGGAACACGTAGTATTAGCATGGTGTGAAACGAATAACGAAAAATAAAAAAACGCATAAAATAAACTAAAATACCAAGTAAAAGTAAACAAGTAAAAAAACGTAAAACGCGATAGTGGAACGCTAGATGAATTTAGCTTTAAGCTTCTTTCTCGCTAAGAGGGAACCTATTATTATAACGAATATTTACATACATTTGTATTATTTGTAAACTAGCGCTAATACAAAACTCCAATTGTGCATCGAAACGCGCGAAACAAGAAAGAAAACCACGTCCCTCCAGCCCTTCTCCAGCCCTCGAACAACCTCATCGAACCAAATTTTTCCACGCCTAAACCCAATCTATTCCCGAGAATCCGAGAGAAATCGAATCCCAGACCGAAAACCTCGACATCCCCGATATCCTCGCGTCCTTGTCTCTTCGTCTCCGGATCTCCGCGTCTCCTCCTATCCTTGTAACCTTGCATCCTCGAGAGAAAGAGAGCTCGGGGAAGGAAACGAGCGATACGGTAACGCCCTTTTTCTCCGCCGCCAACACCCCCTCCAGCCCTTTTCAACGTCCCCTTCCTCGAATCCTCGCCTACTCCCTTTCCAGCAACCAGAAACCAAAAACCAGAAACCAGAAACCAACAAGCAACAACCAGAAACCAGAAACCAGAAACCAGAAACCAGAAACCAGCAGCCAACAACCAGAAACCGACAACACCCTC